AAAAAAGGGAGAACACAAGGGTCAAAAGTAAAAAAAAAAAAAAAAAGCAAAAAAAAAGACAAAATATAAAAATACATTAGCATCAAGTCTTTACTGAAATCAAATCAGATGTGTTACACCAGCCTTCAAGAACCCAGCAGCGTAGTATTGTGTAGAAGACCTACCAGACTGTCCAGTCCTCCTCCAAGAAGGTCCATAGCACCCATCTGCATTCCAGAAGACGGGGGTGGTGGTGGTCCAGCAGTGGTAGGAGGTGTCAGGTCCAGATTGAGCAGATCTCCCAGGAGGTCTCCCTGGGATGGGATGACAGCAGGGGGTGCCTCAGAAGCTCCAGCAGCAGAACCTGCATCTGGGCTCTCAACACTCTCCCCACTAGTAGAAATAAAACAAGAGGTTATGTAACATGTAGTTATGTACAGTGAAGTATTTTCATGGTGATGTCATTTTATTTCACTAGATATTTGCAAAAACACTAAACCCAGTCTGTCATTGAACTGCTGATATGCCTCCATCGAGTGCCCTGAGAACAGTGACAAGTAGATGTGGTGATTATTTAAAGCCAGGAAGGAACAAAGAACAGCAGCTGCACAGTTTGACACTCCGGAAAAGTGAGTTTCTCAGCACATTTGAAAGAAAACATAATAGCTGAGTCAACAAGCCAGGTCCACTTACTATAAGTAACCAAACCTTCCTGACTGCAGTGTTTAAAAAAAAAAGAAAAAAAAAAAAGTGCATGACTCACGATCCAGCACTGCCAGCGAGTCTCTTGTGCTGAACACCGCGGCTGCCCTCGACAAAGGCACTTGGTGGCTTGTGGTAGACAGAGGCCAGAGTGCCAATGTGGCAGATGAGCTCCTCCAGCAGTGTGGGTTCAATCAGATCTGTCTCCTCAGAGATCAGGGGCTTCTCAGCCAGAACCACCTCCTTAGCAGCTACAGGGTCAGTGGAGAGCAGACGCCAGTAGATGTAGCCACGGTCCCTGAGGTCTGGGTTATCAGAGTCCTGCATAAAGAAATAGAGATGCAAGAATGAGGAATTATTTAATGGAGCATGTTTAACAACTTCCCAGTGTAAAAGTCTTTTCTGTCATGGCCCAAGTATAAGAGACTGAGCCGTAACCAAAAAATATGAAATACTTTTTATAACAATATATAAAAAAACTGAGTCAATCTTGTCATTTTTATTAACATGAAAATGCATCTGTCCAACACTGCTATTGCACATAAGCAGAGCTACCAGTTTTCTTTTTACTGTACATACAAGTATTACAGTGTATGCAATGCAAGCCTGTAATAAATTCCATTTTTATGAAGCTTATAATGTTCAGTTTTTGTGGACATTCTCTCAGAGGGACCTCTCCTCAACACTATCGTCACTTTTGAAATCACAGCTGTTCGTGGTGGTTTTGCACTAGACCACATCATAAGTGTTTCTTGTACTCTGACATCTTGTTTTACATGCATGATGGAGCACAAAAGAAACCCCACCTCATTTTCATGATAGTATCATTTCTACTCTAGGCTATATAGCACAACATAAGTCCTCAAAGTAGGTTAATTCACAGCAGTACACTCTTCTCTCATTTATGTTATGTAACGGACTAAAACGTGCACATAGTTGCAGGTAAACTGAGCAACTAATACAAAATAGCATATTCTAGATGTATGCTGAACTACACTGAACATTTTACATTTACAGCTGGTTTGATCCACCTTGCATGGACATGAAAAATACAGGCCTAGTTTTATTTAAGCCAAAAACACAATGTTCAAACATGCTGCAGTTAGGTTTTGCTTCTGTAAGGATAAAACCACAAATGCACAAATCTTTATTTAGGCAATAACTGACCTAATGACAGAGTTGGATATAATTTGAGGAGATAATAGTAGACACATTTTAACAATTATGTGGGAAATGTAATAGTAGAATAAGCTTAAACTACTGCAGTCATTACTAAGAAGGTCTAAGGCTGAAATCCACACCGTTTCAATCCAAAATGGCATCCCAACTCTCCAGTGTCCTTTATAATCATTAATAAAGAAATCCATGTCTGACCAGGACAAAATACACAAACTAGAAGAGGAATAACTGGATGAGTAGGTCAGACTATTACACAGCAAACTGAAGATTGTCAAATATCTGCATACAAAGAAGATGGCAGGAAGAGAAACTGTATGTGTTGAACTCTGTGTGTGTGGCTCCCCCCCCATCCCTCACCTGTGTGGCCAGGCTTAGCACCTGCTGCACCAGCTCCTGGGTCTCTGTAGGCTTTTTCAGGAACAACTTGACAATTGCTGTCAGTAGCTGCAGCTGCACCTGAAGGACAAAGTAAACGCATACAGTAATACATTAGAACTGCTCTCATACAATAACTGCATAAAAAGCATTAAATACAATTTTGCCTAAAACTGTAATAAAATGGCAAAGTAGCTCTTAGTGACCTTTTGATGAAACGCTGCTTTGAACCACATTAAACATTTTACTTCTCAGATCTACCAAACAATAACACAAAGGGAACATTTTATGCATACATTTCTTTTTATTCACAAAAAAAATCCACTTATTATAATCAATATAAAGCCTCACCAAGGCAATAATGAATCCATCACTTAGGGGAAGCCACCTAACCAAATAAAGCTTTGTATAAACCTACAAAGAACAGTGGCAGAACACTGTTCAGAGGTAAACACTGGCTTCAGTCCTCTGCACTTGTGTTTGGCATGTCATCTTCATTGTATGTGCTTTACAGCATCTAAGCTGTGGCTTTAATTATTTCCAACAGCAGAAACCAATGAGTGCTATTTACTGTCAGCGCTGACTGAAAATTAGTGACGCTATTACCATTAAAATTAGACTTTTTTTTTATTTTTTTTTATGAAAACCTTCCCTGTGCTCTCCTAAACACACCTGAGTGCTTTCATCATGGAAACCCTCCAAAAAGCTCTCAAGCAGCTCATCAGCATTGTCGATGCGCTCGGCATACTCTCCTACAATCCAGATCATGGCAGCACGTGCCTCTGGCTCATCCAGGGAGTCCAGGTTTTCACAGAGAGTGCCAATCACACTCTCATACCTGGAAACAGTCACACAAAACAACATTACAATCACACAAATGTACATGTATTAGAAGAGACAAAAAAATTAAACAAACAAAAAAGCTAATTGCTAAAATATACATAAAAATACTATTTGGCTTTCTATTTTTTGCCCAACATGAGAGAGAGTGAAAAAAACAACAACAACAACAAAAAAACAAAACAGCCAAACGAGCTGAGAAACTGCTAGCCAACATAATGCATGTCACTGGCTTATAAAACATGGTAGTAAACTACTGCCTATGTTCACATCCAGCATCCAACAGTAGCATTATGTATAAATGTCTACAGTTCTCATCTGCCCAAAATGCTTAATAACAGTTCAATTTAAATAATGCTTCTCTTAGACATGATATGCCAAGGCAGAAAGATTTAGTTGTGACGAAATAATAGAGAAGGCAGAAGTTTCACACTTGTCTAGCTAAAGGTTTGAGCCATGTTGAGCTGGAAGCTTTGCAAAGCCTCTGCCCTTGTAGACTCATCTCCAGGGTGGTGGTGTACAACCATGTGGGAAAGGTTCCCATTTGACATAGACCCACTCTGTTGGATCCACATAAGTAGTTTACGCTGCAGCCGAATCAGCCTGACTTTTGACCAGATGTGATTACGGCAGGGTGTTAAGTGTTGTCAACTACAAACACTATGTTATTGAGGACAAATTTCGTGTCTGCAAACCCTTCTACATGTCTGCTGGGATAATGGACAACTGGAAAAACACTTTTTGTTTGGATAATGAGCTTTACACTTTGCCTGTCCAAAGACCAAGACAACAATTTCAGAGTTAATGAAGCGGAAATGTTGGGGTATCTGCTTGTGAAGTATGTGTGAGTAAGTACTATAACTCTTGAATGTCATTATCAGATAACGATGAAAAGTATGCAATACAGTGACGTATAACTAAAACTGTCTCAGTATGAATGTGCAACCTATAAACTGAGTACCTAGTCAATTTGATTAAGGAAATGTGTATGATACATGCTTGTTGACACTAAACAGTGAACACAAAGTAAGCTTACAAGTGCCCAATTCTCTTGCACATACTATATACACAATTAAGCACTGGCTTTACTTCCAGCATGTTGTGGAACAATCAATACTAAGTCTGCCTAAGTACATGAAGATGTTAAGTTAAAAGACTACATCGATGTACAAGAGAGAACCTACTTGTTGGGGTATTTGCGAAAGATATCCTTGATGACCACAATAGCCTCTTGCACCACATAGTTGACCTTGGTCTGGATGAGGTCTAGCAGGGTGCTAACACAGCGCTCTGCTGATTGCTAATGAAGAGAGGAAAAAAAAAGTCTCCTTATAGGCCTGCACATCATAAACATAGACATATGCATATATGTGAATCTATAACACAGTATGGAATTAGCTTTACTGCTTTTCAAATCCTTAAAACTTGATATTACCAAAGGAATGACTGAGTGACTATGTATTTAACTTAGGCTTTAAAAGTAAACAGCTGCTTCAAACTATGTTTAGATAAATTATGAGAACAAAGTTATGTGTCATGATATATCCTGACAACTATCCAAAAAGTAAACTGTAATAAACCAGTGTATTTATTTAGGCAGCAACACAGAATACTGACATAACAGAGAAACCTTGTGTTCATCATATAAAACACTATAACTAAGCCACACTGATGGCTTTTTAATCAGTGTTGCAATCCAAGTGAGACTAAATAGCAGTATACACAAATTGTTGCTTTATTATGGAGCTGACAGGAGGATCTAAACAGCGGTATTACATTATCTCCACTCACCTCTACTTTGATGGCACAGCGGCCAATGGCTCTGACCGCTTTACGGACAAAGTCCACATCCACCTCTGTGGCATATTCCTTGAGTTCAGCCAGCACCTACAATAAGGCAGTCGAGCATCCGTGTCAATCAGACGATCTTGTTAACAATATCTTTGTTTCTCAAGAGTACTCTAAAGGTGGGCACACACTTAACGCCCAGCTAAAACCTTCTAAGACTGAACAGACCACACTTAATGTCTGTTTCCACCAACTTTCCCAGATTTTTAGTCCTAGACAGTCTGATCAAACTCTGTAGACAACCTCTTAACTGTAACAATTGGAAGCTCTGGCAGCAGATGAACCTGTAAATCACATGAGATAATGCCAGTTCTTGCAAGTCCTCGTAGCAAAATAAATAAGGACACAACCAGCTTGCACTGTTTATATCCATGCTTTACACTTCAATTTGCACAAAAAAATAAAGGCACAGAGTTTGGGCAAGATCCTGGATAGCGAGGCACAGACTACACAGCTATAGAGGGAACGGAAACATGTCGGTCCTGTTGTGGCATGCCTCAGATTTGTAGAAGCCTTCATTCTCCTGCCACAGTTCAGTCAGTTTTTCCTCCAGCTCACTTTCATGCTACAGTCCTTTTATAATCATCATTCTTGAAACTATCTTTTGTTAATTTACCAGTATCTCTCTCTCTCGAGCAAAACATGTCGTCACTGGTCACCCATGTCAGTTGTAAATATGAAACATTGTAAAGAATCTTTATGGGAACAACTGGGAGTGACTGGTTCTTAAGACTTAAGATTAAGTCACATGCTCCACAATTTTATCTGCTGACTGCCAACAATAACTGACCCAGAGTGACTTGGTCCAACTGGGTCCCATCAGTCATCACATCCAAACACCATTCATAAACAGCAAAACAGTCATTAAGTCTGTGTGCACCGTAAGATAAAGCAGTATTACAGCTGTTGGTGCAATACCTGGGCAATGTTGGCTTGAGATGCTAGGCGAATCATAATGTCCAGCTTCTCCAGTTTGACATAGATTGGATCATTGTACTTCACAAAGAAAACCTTCATCTCATGTTTCAGGATCTCTGGCCTAAAACAGGAAGACATTTGTTAACATAATATTTATTATAATTTGTGTGAATCAACTTACACTGTCATACAACAAAAAATAAAGCAAAATGGATCCAACTGTAATATACCATGCTATAGTAAACATAACTTTTATTGGGGAGAGTCTGCTATTTCCAAGGACTAAAGAGTAGTAAAGAAACATTCTTCTCAGGTCATCTCCCAAGACGTACCGTCTCTGTACAATGAGGTTGATGTTTCTAAGGGCCACATATTGCAACTCTGGCTCGGCAGAGAGTAGCGTGACCAGTGGAGGGGCGAGCTTCTTCAGCAGGGTGCCATAGTAGTCCAGGTCTTTGGGCAACATCTCCATGAACTTCATTAAAACTTTAACTGCTGACAACACCACTGCAGAGTTGGCATGGGAGAGCCGCGGGGTCACACGCTCACAGATGCTGTCAGATGTTGATGACATTGGGAGAGAAAGAGCAGAAAATTAAATAGTTTACTGGGAATATGTGCTAATTGGCATGCAGGCAGAGAAAACGCTGATGACACTAGCACTCTTGCTTACCTTTGAGACTCACGATCATCACGAGGTGTGTAATTGGCCAGACAGTCAAGAATGAATATCTGTCCCCATTCTGTACATTCATTTAAAGCTGTCAGCAGCTTGTTGATGGTCTGAGGGTTTAGGTCCAGTAGATTACTGTTGGGATGAGACTCTGCTATCTCAGACAGCGCTGCCACTGCATTTGCTACAACCTAAAGTTGAAGAGTTAACAGATAAACAGAAGCCATCAGCTAAAACAGATATAAAAAAGGTCACTGTACCAACACCATTTTGGCAACATGCTGTACATTTGTGTGGCTGTACAGGACTTATCAGTATAATACAAAGCTATGGCTTGTATCTTATCATCCTGACTCAGAAGCCAGCTAGTCTGAAGGAGTCATACCATAGGGTTAGAGTCAGAGATGAGGTCTTTAAGGGTGTCCAGGAAGCCTTGGTCCTCCACCAACTGGGCGTTTATATCATGGAGCTTTGCTACACACACAGCAGCCGTCTTCCTCACATATGGGTCTTCATCCTTCAGACATTTCCTCAGTGGCTCACAGAGGTACTCTGTGATCTTGTCCACACGAATGCAGCCCATTGTACGAACAGCAAGGGCCCGGATGAGAGGGTTGGGGTCTTCACAGTCCTAGATGTATAGTTCAAAGAGGTCAGAAAATTTACTTCTGCATCATCCACCATTATCTGAGAGACATTAGGATGTACTCTAAGATTTGTTTGCATGAGCATTCCGTAAAGAAATAAATTATAAAAGCTGTAGTTAGAATTATCTGAAAGTCAAACTAATTCAAGAGGGAATTAATGGCTAGTCGCTTTACACAACTACAGAGATGCGTTGCCCAGACCAGTATGTAGGTTCAAATCAGTGAAGAGAATATTTACTCTCCCAATTATAAAGTGCTATACAAAGGTTTATATACCCCTGTATGGAACAATATGAACAAAACCTTAAACCTGCTGTTGCCAAAAGTTGTTCTCAATGGTTAAGATCTAATAAACATTTTAAATATTTACATTTGGCTTATAATTCAAATAAAAATTCAAATTCCTTTCTTAAAATATTTTCAGAAGAGTTAGAATAAAATTTTCATTTCTAAATCTGTTTTCATACAACTGAAGGCTGAACACACTTTCAGAGCACCATACCAAACAGGCTCTAACACCACAAGTTACTGCAGTTGAATTATTAAATGCAAATTGATCATTTTAGAGTTTCTACACACTTGTAAGACTAGGTTTTACCTTCACAAAGGTGTTAACAGCCATGATAGCCATGTCTGGCTGACTCTTGGCATAGTTCATCAGGTAGAGGTAGACCAGTTTTTTCAGTTCCAAGTTGTCTGTCTGCATGCAGTTCACAACATCCGGGAACAGAGCGCTGAAAGAGGGACAAGCTTCTACTTTATTATCGGTCAGGTGATGAGTTGCAGTTTATTATTCCACTTAGGATCTTCTGACATCACTTGCTCTGGCTCACCTGACATCTTTGCCAACTGTCATAGATGCAATGACCTTCTTCACAGCCTCCTTCTTCTTCTCTTTCTTATCACTGTTCAGCTCTGCCTTGAGTTCAAAGATCTCCCCTGAACACAGAGGGAAAGGGAAGCATTCATCATATAATCCATTTGTGATATAGGGGGTACAAAAAGTACTACGCTGCATTTCCATCTTGTCAGAGATATCAACAAACAAATTAATATGTGAATATTCTAACATGCAATGTACATTGTCCCTTGTTTATAAGAACCATGCATAAATACAGAATGTGGACAATGACATCCCCAGCAGCCCCTAATGCTGATGAATGGTGTCAGCTGTCAGGGGTTTATGTGCACATACCACAAGCAACCATCTTGATCAGTGTCATAGTGATTTTTTTTATACAACAGCACAGTAAAACGATGGGGCTAGAGTAAGCCCCCTTGAACTGCATTCTTTCAACTAGCTCACTGTCACTACTGCTTCTTCTACCACTCATTGCTAATATCTTGGTTGTTTTTATTTAATAACAAGCTAGCAAAGTTGTCACCGACTTTGGTGACCAATGACACTTCTAATAGCTGCTGCACCCAATTACTCATTATAAACTGATTTCATCCACACCACCTACTCAAACCCAATGTTCAATCATTGCGAGTGTAACAACACAATATGTATATACAATCTTGTTCTAGCTAAAAATACTAGAAAATAAATGATGGCCTAGGAATTGGCAAAATGTAATTATGTTTTTTTTTCTCCCTCAATGTAGTAAAAAGGCAAATATGAACAGTGAGTGTAGGTACTGAGTAAAATATCCTGTTCTCATCTCATGTGAACTTCTCATGACAGATGACAAAAGGAGTTTATTTTGTCTTTGTTTATCCATTTGTGATGCTTTGTACTAAACTTAAAAAGACAGCTTTAGTTTATGTCAGTGGAGAGTCAATAAATCACCATCAATCTGCACAACTTGCACTATAAAAACATACACTGTCATTACACTGCCAGTTTTGGGCTTAAATTTAAATCTGCATACTTAAGAGTTTCCCAGGCATTGTAAACCATTCATCACTTCCAGTCTCCTTAAGATGTTACCAACAGACTGCACACAACATCGGGCAGATCCACATAAAAAGATACTGAAAGGAACATGCTCTTCTGTTTCAGACAATTCCAAACAAATATATGGGGTCTGTACACTATCACTCATAAGCACCTCATTACAAACAGTTTATGTGGGAACATGCACAGTTCAGCAATGTGTGAGAGGAACCACACAAATACAACAGGAGGCACAGATCTGAGAGCTGAAGCTTGTTATGTGTGCTCTGATTTTCAATAACCAGAGCTGTTATGGAAACAGCATCAATACAAAGCAGGGTAATAGCAGTTTAGGTTAATTTTTTTTTAAACACTGGTTATATTGAATGTTTAACACTATGTAGTGCTGGGAACATAGCAAATTAGTCTTAGATGAAAACACTGGTAAGCTTTAAATTGATTGGGCTAGGTTAAGAATCTGAACAAAGTTCAGGTATCCCTTGGCAAAGGTTTTAGATCTCAGATTTTAGATTCCAGATCCCCCAGCTCTATGCCACAAAATCCACACAAATAATGCATGGATGCTGATGATTGGGAACTTCAAATAAGACATTTTTAACTTGTCCCTCAAGCATTTTACATGTTATATAATCTATCTTAAGAACAACCAATAGTAAGCTGTTATACCTTTCTTGGTGGTGGTGAAATACTTTGAGTCTGTCATCTTGAATCCAAATTGTCGATTCTCCTGCAAAAGACAGAACCAGTGAAAAATAAAAGTTCTTTTCCTGACTGCAAACTTGGAGCTTCACAAGAGCAACAGGAAATAATAGAAGTGCAAACACAGGAAAATAAGAGGAATTCCTGTCTTATCCTCAGCAAAATGCAGTAATCTATCAAATGGGAAACAATGGATTTTGCTAAGAAAAGAAACACTAACATCCCCTCTTTAAACATTAATCTTCTTGGTCAGCATGTATGTGGCCAACAACAACTTTTACTGACCCACCATAAAATGTTTTCCCACAGCATGCAACTCTATGCACTTCCAATTGTTGATCCCCACTCTGGATCGGGCACTTCTCTACACTTTCAGCTCATCTCCTGCTTACCATTTATACTATGTTCAAGTTTAAAGGAATGCTCTTCAGTTTTCTCCATTGATGGAGGAAATAAATCCCAAACTTACTCAATACATTTTCACCCATATTTTTTGTCTTATGGACTGTAAATCACTTTTAAGATATTTAATGTTCTAAATAGGCGTATAAGTAATTTATATGAGGAGCACTACAATGATTAGTGACAAACAGAACATTAATTTGAGACCATTGTATAATCAATGAATTGTTTAAGTCAAATTTTTCTTTTAAAAAGTAAACACTTGCAGCTTTTCTTGTTTACTGTGTAGTAAATGTAACATTGTTGAATTTAGGATGCCAAAATATGGCTGTAAGAAGTCACTGTGGGCTGTATGATACTACAAAAAAAAGTTCATGTCCGTCAGTTATTAACGATGATATGCTATGCCATTAGCGACAATAAAGTGAGGTGACAGTCTTGCAGTATTTTATTAATTTAACGTCGCAGTTTCATTATTCATCAAGCTTCAGGTAACCTAGCTGTCAACTTCACACCGGCTGTTAAAGTTAGCCAAATACGATGCAATAACTGCCGACCAAGCTAGCAAGATGAATAACGTTAGCTGTTTGAGCTACAATTCACGCTGCTACCATATCATGCTAACACCGAAATAATACAGTACTCTTAAATACTTTTCAGCCTACCAATACGAGTAATGAAAATTGGATTACTGTAACTCAAATACTAACTTAGCCACAAAGTTGAGGAAAAGCTCGCTAGCTGACTAGCATCGGGCTACAGTGACGTTAACGTTTAGCATAGCAGGTCCGGTGTGTACAGCTGGAAGCACACTAAAAATGTGTACAGATAACATAAAGTCAGGTCAGCTAGTGCAATTGCCGTTGCCACTCGACCAATTACTCACACATAATTGATTCGCAAATTCCTGCATAGTTGCAAGAGTTACGGCCAGATGAATTAAAGTGGTGCTAAAGGCTAGCTGTCTAAGTGTGCCTATCAGTGTCAGCTAGCGCCTGGCCACTTCTTTAGCTAGCACAGCTGAGACGTGACCTTCTAAGTAGAGGCTTAAGGAAGCCTTTCCCGAGATAGTTAAGCTCTTAATTTGTGGACCTGGTTTAAGACTTACCCAATGAACTTGCGTTTCTTCTGGTGTTAAAATTACACTCCCCCCACATTTAATCTAGAGAACATCCCCAAAAATACCTTACCGTGACAGGCGTTGTAGAAGCTGTGATGGCCTTCGTTCCCTCCCACTTGATGTACTTCCGTCTGTCCACAAAATAAGGTTTTCAAACGGACGAGCAACGTCAGCCGAAGAGGGTTGTTCATAAGGCTGAAGTGTTTCAGCAGGTCTGTCTGTCATTACAGCATTTTTCAGAAAGTGGTTTACAATTTCTTAACAGTAGTACTCTTTGTAACCTATGACAACATACAAATATTATTATATCTCTAATACAGTTACAGAAAGAATAAAGAGGTTCTTTAGGCCTACTTAGTTAAAAATGAACTATTATATTGAGAGATGTTTCTAATATTTTGTCCTGACCTTGTATATCAATTTGCACTCTGTTAAAATTAAATTAGAATTAGAATTAAAGAATTAGAAACACCTATAACACTTACAGCACCATAAGCCATCTAAAACAGTTTTGACAAAAAAAGAACATTATTACCTTCACAAATGTAGAATTTATCATAGGACTGTTGTATTAGACTTAATTAGTTTTAGCTAGGTTATTTTACCAAATAAACTGGTTAAGTGCTAGTAATATCAAAAACTGCACTGCAATTTCTTCTCTGCACACACTCTGAGACAGAGCAGGACTTCTTTTGCTGCATTTTTTAAAGTTTAGACTACAAAATCTGCACTAAGAGATAACCAGATATCAGTCTACTGGACAAATGGGATGATTACACACATAATGTTCAGCTACATCTTATGCAAGGAAGGAAGGAAATTACATTTCAGTTACAAAAAAGTTAGTAAATTACATTATGTATAGAGAATAATATAGTCAATATCCACATTAACATTTGGGCTTCTCTCAAACAGATGCAGAATTTCCTCTAGTTCTCCACTCTGCTGGGACCAAAGCTTTACATAACACATTGATCAGAGCTAATTTATAAACTTCAGAGGAAGATATTTATTACAAGAACAACCTGACAGCATTTTCAACTTAAAAAAAGTGAAATCTTGTAGTATTGCTAGTTTATACATACATATTCCACAATGTCAAGCAATCTGTACATTTAACTGACATTTTTAGTGAAATAACATTAGCAAATAAGAACTTGTCTGGTCATGAACATTCAGATTCTGCTGATTGGAGATCAGAGAAGGAGAGGGGATTTCATGAAATTTGCAAAGATGTGGTGAGAAAGAGTGGATTATGTAAGGACAATCAATCTTTTTGTGACAGACAACCAAAGATGTCACAGTTCACATAATGGGTAGATTTAATACCATTTTACCAAAGCAGAAATGTCTTTAAATAAGACAAAACAATATAACAAATGTATTTTAACAATTTAAAAAACTGTTTATACAAGTAAAACTGATAACCAGCTACGTTTAGGATCAGTGTAGCTTTAACAATACTCGTGTATCAGGAATTATTTGTAGCAGTGTTAAATCAATTTGCTGTATGTGTGAATATTGTCTGTAGGATCATTCCAGTCTTTAAACTGGCAACATTTCTAATGGGTTGTGTCTCTTTACAATAGCCTATATACTGTTGAGAAAACTGAAAAATCTTTAAATGCCCCCACCCATTTGGATTTCCCTTAACACTTAGTCACTTATAGTAGTTGGGACCCAGATCTCACTTGAATCTGCTGACATTTGATTTCATAAATAAATAAATTAGACCAACATCATGCCCCTCTTTCCTCCAACTTTGTACATTTTCTCAAACAGTATGTATTCACAAAGATATACACATTCTTGACTATTAGCCTATTCATTGTGTCAGTGTCCTGCAAAAAGAATTTTTTTGTCAGCTATTTTTTTCACTTTTTACTGACATTTTCTCCTCAGTTTCTGTTGGAACTATTTATAAAAACCACTTTAAAACTTCAAAACCATATGGATGGCCACCATTGTCACTTATGGTCATTTTGGAGATTATGGGGTTTCTGCATTAATGTTTTCACTTTCAAATATATTTCAAATATGGACCACACTTGTTAAATACCCAAAAAACAGAAGCCCTGTAGCTAGAGCCTGGTCTCAAACTATGCAAGAGCTTCACAAGAGAACCTTGATATCTTGTTACAGAATCTATTATTCATGCATGTTGCACACATGCAGACATTCAAGTTAAAATTGTTCTTTGTCTATTAAGTTTCACTTTATCATGTCATTCTTAGCGGCTCTGTTGGCTCTAATCAGCACCAGATGATTAATTCCAAAAGCATGGAGGAAAAGGTACTGTGGCAAGGAAACAGGATCTCTATTGTGAATGAACTGTGAATGAAACCTGTCTTTCTTTAGCCACTAGATGTCATCGTATACTGTGCCACTCCTTTGAAATCAATCTCCAAAGTAGGTTATCTGGCACCTAGTGTTTCAGAACAATTAATAGGGCTATGGGACAATAACTTATATATCTTTATCACAAATTGTAAACCCACATCAAGCATGATTTATCATTTAAATCAGCAATGCTCATTGACTTTTTACACATTCACACTTAAACTCTCCATTTTCTGCTATCAGAAACAGTGATATGGAGCAAAAACATTCAAAAACTAACTTGTGAATACATTTTAAGGCAAAGGGAATTGTCGAGCCATTTCCGACACCAATATTGCATAGGCAGTACAAAACCTAATAGTGAATATGTACATGAAACTACATTTTCAATGCCTTTTTATATACAAAATACCCACATCTCACAGAGAGCACATCAACATGTATTTACACATTCATTCTCCTAAGTTTTTGACTTCTGCACAAGTATATTTACCACTGGATTTCAGAGTGAGGTTTGGTCAGCATTACTGTTTCAGTGACAATGACACAAAGTAATAAAACCTTCACTGCTCCTCAAATGGTTTAGCCTTATTTCACTTGAAAGTTGAAGTTTACCGCATTAAATATAATCTTGAAAACCCGTTACACATTAAGCATTTGAAAAAAACCCAGATTTTATCTGTCTGAACAACAACTGATTAAAATCTGACATATTAATAAAATCAGAGAACTAGAGATGCATACAGAGAAGTGCATGTAATGTTCATATAGTCACAAGAATGATGGAGGTACCTCTGTCTATTACCTATTAGTATTTTGTAAATATACTGAGTATACTGAGTCATATGTGTATGAAGACCACTAATCTGGAGAGAATAAAAATAGCGCAGTCACTATTATGACTAAGCAGAGCTGCTATGGCAAACCACAAGAGGGAGCCAGTTTGTTGACTAAAGGTTTAGTGTTTATAATTTCTACTGAAGAGTTGTGGCTTTAAATCCCTGGCACTTTACCATGCCCTTCAGTGAGGCACATGGCAGCACATGTGCTCTCTCTTTATCTCTCTGTATCAACCATTAGAATTTCACACGTCTTGCAAAAAAACATCATATGATTGGCAAAAGCATCCCACATGCACACATTAAAATTACAATAAAAGCATTATTAAAAACCATTCCTTTGGTAATAAATAATTCCCTTGAGTGCAAAATAAAAACAATCTGAACCCCCTGCAGTTAATCAGGGAAGAAACTGTGAAAAAGAAGGAGTGTTTGACATGCAAAGGAAACACTCTATAGCCCAGTCTTAAGTCAGTTTTTACACAGTACTCAAAGTTCCTGACAACAAACCCCTGTGTCACACCCATCAGTTTTGTGTTACATCCAAGTTTCAGTGTCCAGGCTTCCTGACTGTCCAGGATAGGAGCAGTCTTTGTTGCCCATGGCTGGGGCAAGTGACTGAGGGTGGATCATATCCACAAAGGCTTGCTGCAGGCTCTAACATGTGGCTAGACGACCAGCAGAATGTGAGCTCTGGGGGGACAGCGGTGGGGTGTGGCATGGGTAAAGAGTGTTGTGAGCCTGCAGATCTCTGTAGCTGACTGGGGTAGGGATACGTGAGGGGCTGTTTTCTGGCCTGTTGTCTGTGCGGGGCTTGATCCTGCCTTTGTGCTTAGAGTTAGGGGCTACTTTGTCAGATTTCTTTTGCCCTTTCTTAGTCTGCGGCACTTCTCCATCTGTGTCCCCGTTGGTCAAGGGTGGGGGAGACTCGGAGCGGGATTCGCTCAAGCTGACGCACATGGAAGAGTTTTCACTTGAGGAATCCTGGAAGGAGCAGTCCTCAGAGGGAGGAAGGGGCACAGGTGATGGACAAGCCTCTGGCAGTGGGAGGTCATTACTCCCATCTCCATTTTCCAGGTCACAAGGTAAGTTTGGCTGGAGATTCTCCAGAAGAACATCTCCTTCAGACCCTGTGCCCCAGCCCAGCTGAGCCTGCTGACCTGTCAGCCCCCCTGTAGGAGAACAATCTCCATTCATATTCCTACAATGGAAAGCAGTTTGTGAGGGGATCTGATTTATTAAATTATCCGACTGTGTGTCTCCAAGGCCGGGCAGGGAAGATGGAAGCTCCCTCTCCTCTATGGAGCTAGAGATGGCGGGGAGCTTCTTGAGACCCCCTCCACGCTCCCCCCAGTGTTCAGCCTCTCCTTGACCAAAGTTGTGTGGTCCACCAAAATTGTGTCCATAAAGTATATTTAAGGGGTCATCCAGTGAGAAGTGATGGGGATTAGTTCTCTTAGATTCCCTGAGGTCAGGCAGAGTTCCTGTCTTTGACCCCACATTCACGGAGGAGCTGGAGGAGTTAGAAGAGGAATAAGCAGAGTCAGTAACATTAGGATCGTTGAGTGTTGGCACTGAATATGTCCCAGCTCCCTTCTGTGTTGTTTTTCCAGGAGCTTTACTAGGCACTCTTCTAGCCTGTTGTGTATTGGCCAAAAACTCAGCCTCAAAGCTACGATACAGTTCCTGCTCCTTCTGGGGGTCAAGTATTGGCAACATCTGGAAGCCAAAATCTAATCCTTCCTCCTCAGACTCCTGGTGCTCCAGGCCAGACCAGTTCTTATGGTAGCCTTGTCCGGCAGAGCGAGGGCCTTGTGCAGTTCGAAGGGGGCGAGCAGCATGATGGTGAGAGTTGCGGGGGGATGAGTGTGGTGAACATCGACCTCCTGAGGTGACTGGTGGCAGTAGTCTGGAATTTCCTATGCAGGGTGAGCGAGGGGCAGGAGGTCTGGGAGTAGATATAATCTTCTTGCTGGGGCTGCTGTTGTTATTTTGGACCCCTTTATTAGGTGACTTAGAGCATGAGGATGACCTCTTGGTGAACCTACAACCTAGTCTAGGAGAGGATGGGGGCAGTTGTTTGGCCCGAAGCTCTTCTCCTCTGTCTGAAAGTGAGAGTTGGGGTTCTCTGTGGCAGGGTGAGGGTCCTGGGCTGGCATCACTAGATCGAGTACGGCTAGGTAACTTACTCTGGCTGTGGGAACGTGGAACATGGAGCTTCCTTGGGCCCTCGTTTCCAAGGGAGCGGCCCCTATCTGTTCGTGATGTTCGCATACCATCAGAGGATCCTTGCGGCGGGTTTGGTTTGAGAATTGGACTGAGTGCATGACGTTCCCGAGATTGGCTACGTGCACGGGGCAGCGATGGATGCCCATGCAGTGATGGGGTCTGATTTACCGCTCCAGGCCTCTCGATCATATGTTTCCCCTCCTTGCGATTAACAAGCAGTACCACCTCTTCACCAGCACGTTGTGAGGCCCCACCATGAGAGTACCGTCCCCCTCCTCCTCCCTTAGAGGAGGCTGTAGAGGAGTCACTGTCTCCAGACAGACGTCTTGTCACTGTCTCCTTATTCCTACAATATAGGGAGGAGACAAAGAGTCATGTGTGTTTATAATACCATATGCTTAAAAAAAATCATCCATAACTAGTGTATCCCAATTTGCACTCATTACTCACACAGGTACAGAAGCAACATATTACCTCTGAATCAGCAACAGATTTATTCTAAATATTATCTTGTGAGGATTTCCCAGCCAGCTACTGCTTCACACATATAGTATTTCTGAACTAAGACTCCTAACGTCTCAGAACAGTGGGCAGTGACAGCCAGGGGGATTACAGAGAAGATGAGAAAAACTTGGGGCAGGATTAGAGTTCCCAACACACAGCACTGCTCTTTCTCAACCAGACACCACGTGGCTGTCACACCCCAGGACCATCAGCTTTAACTGTATAATCAGCTCATAGGCCTCACTTACAGGAAGAACAAACCAATAGATTCAATGAGCATAGATCAATAACATGCACATTTATATGGGATATTTAAAGGCTGAGCAGAGGCTGTGTTATTTCTGTGTCCTTACATACAGTGCCTTGCGAAAGTATTCGGCCCCCTTGAACTTTGCGACCTTTTGCCACATTTCAGGCTTCAAACATAAAGATACAAAACTGTAATTTTTTGTGAAGAATCAACAACAAGTGGGACACAATCATGAAGTGGAACGAAATTTATTGGATATTTCAAACTTTTTTAACAAATAAAAAACTGAAAAATTGGGCGTGCAAAATTATTCAGCCCCTTTACTTTCAGTGCAGCAAACTCTCTCCAGAAGTTCAGTGAGGATCTCTGAATGATCCAATGTTGACCTAAATGACTAATGATGATAAATAGAACCCACCTGTGTGTAATCAAGTCTCCGTATAAATGCACCTGCACTGTGATAGTCTCAGAGGTCCGTTTAAAGCGCAAAGAGCATCATGAAGAACAAGGAACACACCAGGAACACACCAGGCAGGTCCGAGATACTGTTGTGGAGAAGTTTAACGCCGGATTTGGATACAAAAAGATTTCCCAAGCTTTAAACATCCCAAGGAGCACTGTGCAAGCAATAATATTGAAATGGAAGGAGTATCAGACCACTGCAAATCTACCAAGACCTGGCCATCCCTCTAAACTTTCAGCTCATACAAGGAGAAGACTGATCAGAGATGCAGCCAAGAGGCCCATGATCACTCTGGATGAACTGCAGAGATCTACAGCGGAGGTGGGAGACTCTGTCCATAGGACAACAATCAGTCGTATACTGCACAAATCTGGCCTTTATGGAAGAGGTGCAAGAAGAAAGCCATTTCTTAAAGATATCCATAAAAAGTGTCATTTAAAGTTTGCCACAAGCCACCTGGGAGACACACCAAACATGTGGAAGAAGGTGCTCTGGTCAGATGAAACCAAAATCGAACTTTTTGGCAACAATGCAAAACGTTATGTTTGGCGTAAAAGCAACACAGCTCATCACCCTGAACACACCATCCCCACTGTCAAACATGGTGGTGGCAGCATCATGGTTTGGGCCTGCTTTTCTTCAGCAGGGACAGGGAAGATGGTTAAAATTGATGGGAAGAGGGATGGAGCCAAATACAGGACCATTCTGGAAGGAAACCTGATGGAGTCTGCAAAAGACCTGAGACTGGGACGGAGATTTGTCTTCCAACAAGACAATGATCCAAAACATAAAGCAAAATCTACAATGGAATGGTTCACAAATAAACATATCCAGGTGTTAGAATGGCCAAGTCAAAGTCCAGACCTGAATCCAATCGAGAATCTGTGGAAAGAACTGAAAACTGCTGTTCACAAACGCTCTCCATCCAACCTCACTGAGCTCAAGCTGTTTTGCAAGGAGGAATGGGCAAAAATTTCAGTCTCTCGATGTGCAAAACTGATAGACATACCCCAAGCGACTTACAGCTGTAATCGCAGCAAAAGGTGGCGCTACAAAGTATTAACTTAAGGGGGCTGAATAATTTTGCACGCCCAATTTTTCAGTTTTTTATTTGTTAAAAAAGTTTGAAATATCCAATAAATTTCGTTCCACTTCATGATTGTGTCCCACTTGTTGTTGATTCTTCACAAAAAAATTACAGTTTTATATCTTTATGTTTGAAGCCTGAAATGTGGCAAAAGGTCGCAAAGTTCAAGGGGGCCGAATACTTTAGCAAGGCACTGTAATTGCATACACCACACACTTCATGATTGTGTCCCACTTGTTGTTGATTCTTCACAAAAAATTACAGCTTTATATCTTTATGTTTGAAGCCTGAAATGTGGCAAAAGGTCGCAAAGTTCAAGGGGGCCGAATACTTTCGCAAGGCACTGTATATAATTTTAAATGTAGATAGTAAAATAGCATTTAGTCTGTTTCTCAACTAGTCATGACAGAGCATATCAGGCAGTTTTACCTCATTTACAGTAACAAAAAGCTTCAAAGCATAAAAAACAGGTAATAAGTTCTTGTCTAGAGTCTATGTATTTAAAGACTGGTCAGTCACACTGCAGTCTTGTGTTTTGAGTTTTAGTGATGAGGATACAGTTTTGTTTTAATTTAGAATACAGCTTGTGCCTTTATTTTATGCTTTATTACACCAGACCTCTAAAGTTATCCTCAGAAATTAGATTTGTATATATTCAGACATGTTCATCTGCCTGCACACAGCCCACCTGTTGACCTACTTCCCCAGTTAGCTGTGAACAGTTGTCTAGGGATAGTTGTCAGATTAGTCTTCATCTTTTCTAGTGCACTTGAAAACCGATGCCCCACCCACAGAGGGTTAATTTGAATGAGCTGTTGCCCTGATGCCAAGTTCGGGCCATTGCTCAATACAGAAATGAGCCACATGTTGGCTAGAGGCCACAATTAAACCACAATTTAGCTCCTAATTATTTTGTCACCTTCATATTCTGACATGCAGCAAAGATATGTGACCAACTAAACATTTTGCCAGCCTCATAAAGGGCATAAGCAGATGTTATTGTCTGTATATCCCATAGAAAGAGCCACATATAATGATGTTAACCTGCCACTATTTTGGCTCTGATTCTTACCAGCCTGCAATCTACCTGGTCACTGATATGTTAATTCACAAGCACACCAGAGAAGATGGAGGTGTGATTTTATTTGTCACGGGCATCATACTGATTCAGACCATCTGTTTGCAATGACAAGAGAAGAAAGACTTGAGCAACAGCTCTCACAGACTTACTCCCCTGATAGACGGTTGACAGTGTAATAACTAAGTGAAGACGATGAGACAGGAGTGTGCAGAAAAGAACATTGAGTAAATATGTTTTGTATGTACCTTGCAATCACTAGGAGGTGCTACAGGGTTGCTGTGTAAGATGATTTATCAGGGCAACCTGAGATTTGAAAAATATGCTCTGGTCTAATCTGTGGTTTCCTGGCATGCGTATTTGTTGTGTGTATGTCCTGCTCTTAATGTCGGACTATCTGTCTGTGGGCACGAAAGATCAAGTAGCATAAATGGTCCTGCCAGGCTTCCTGTGAGAGATTAATTTCTTATCATGGTATAACACGTATCCACACACTTATCCGCACACTTGCATAGACATGTATACTCACCTGAGGGGATTAAAGTGGCGAGCTTCTGAGCGGTCTTGTGGTGGCCGCGGGAGCAGAGCACGCGCTGCACTGGAACTGAGCTCAGTGGGAACGGTAGGGTTCTGAGATCGGGCCGGTCGTGTGGAAGCAGTTGTAGCAGAGGGGGCCTCCTGGGAGCGCCTGTCAGGAGGTTTGTAAGGTGCAATGCCATCATTTCTCCAGTGTGGACCTGGGCTAGTGGAGCGGGAGGAGTGAGCACTCGAGGACTTGCTCTGGGCTCCCTGACCTTGGCCACTGGCTTTAGCCTGGTGATAACGGTGGGCTGTGGAAACAGATTGATAACAAGTGTTTAAAACAAATTTCTAACCAACACCAAGAGACAGCTTGTGGAATTACCAAGCATAAAAACCATTTAGAGGTTTGCAAACAGATTATAGCTAACCACCAAGCTCTTGGATTGCAGCAGCAGCAGATAAAACACTGCTGCTGGTTCACTGAGCCAGAGAGATGGACCCTTGTGAAACAAGCCAATCAGAGAAAAGCTGGTGATCCCTCCATTTAGAATGAACATTTATAGGACACAAAAGGCCCGTTTCTATAATCACTTAATACTGTATGAGCATCAACATGGCCTCTTGCGGTTAGAAATGCAGCACCAATTATGATTTCAGCTAGTGTCAGCTGTCCAGACCAGACTGTCAGTCCTTGACATCACCACTTCAGCAGCAGCCTGGAAAATGACAGACAGTCTCACACACAGCCTAGTTATAGGCATGTATTGCTATGTTGTGGGTGTAAACATTCAGTGGTTATGGCAGATGTCTATTTACTGAGCAACAAAAAGGTTTTGGTTCAGATGAGTTCCTATACAGATACAGTATGTTGTGGGATCAGGTAGTGGAAACTGTGGAGTCAGAGTGACCACACATTTTCTATTACAAGCTTGTATAATTTTCCAGACCTAAATTTCTTGGCTGGATGAAATATAGGTTAGACTTCAGTATGACATAGATTAATTGTTGCAAAAACAACAGTCATACAACAAAAATCAACATAGGTAAAATGACTGCATAAATTGCAGTTACATGTCTGCTAGGACTGGATGACTAACAGTGTTTTTCAGCACTGCTGACCTTCACAGTGTCTGCTCCTCATCTGAACACAGTGCATCAGATGTAAATAATTAGCTTGTAATCTTAAATGTATTATGAATTATGCAATACTGAGACAGAAATGAAGTTGTTTTGCACAGGGCTGATGGGGAATAGGAAGGGAGCTCACCAAAAGCAGCACAGCGGCATGGATCATGCTTGTCCAAATAGTGCTCTAGTGTGTCCCAGCCCCCTCCAACACGCACCATCACATGAGTGCGAAGGACCTGAGGGAGGAAAAGAGAAACCAGTGCATCAATACATGAACATAAAGTAACACATTTATGTAAAAACTGGCTAAATCTTTCATGCACCACCGCTGACAATGAACAAGTCAATAGATATGCAAGTTACACAAGTGGGCCAGCTTGCTGAAAGATGGCCGGCCCTCAGTGTTATGTAACATTTAGAGGCACCCCTGGCTGTGCCCCTGTATCTCCCTCCCCCATAAGTACTCTTTTTCCCACTAACACCCTCAGCTGCTGCCATTATGAGGGCTGTTCATTGCCATGCCAACTCACCATTAAACAGAGTAAGGTAGCATAATAAAGAGTCAGAGCATTGTGAAAGACCTTCTTTTTTTTGCATCTATCTCTTATGCCTTTCAGGTGGATTCCCTCTGCTTTCAGAGGATAGCAGGGTGAATTAGTGTGGTGACAATTCACCCCTGCTGACCTAGCTGCATACACAAGATCAGACCAAAAAGCCACTGTCCCTCCAAACAGAAGCTACCTTCAACAAAGTGCCACATTTGCCTGATGTAACCACCCTGTGGACGGTTCCCCTGCCTTGGGTTGTGTAATGGAGTCTGGCAGCCACATGTTTTAAAGGTTGTAACCATGTGTCTGAGGGCAGGCAAGGCAAAGACATAATGGTGCATGTGTGTGCTGGTGCAGAATGTATATCAATCAAACCACACATGGCACACCTCCTCATCTCTGGGTCCCTGAGCCACAGACACGGCATGTGCACCAAAGTCTGACCCCACCTTCTCTCTTATAAAATCCCTACCAATCCACCACAAGTCTTTTTCATCGGCCTTGCTGCCCTACTACATCAAATCTGTCAAAACAGCCAATCTGCTTATCTCTGTCAGACCTCTGTATAAATTGCTTACTCTCCACTGCTCTGTCCTTATGTCAGTAACAGGTTTACTGTTTGTGTAATGCTGCATAGCTGTCATAAGCAGCAAAAAGCTAGTCTGTATGAGCTTTGTATCATATTTTAGCATCACTGTTATATAAACTTCCACAATAAAAAGATCACAAAGTCCTCTTAGCAGGGCAGGGAGAGCAGGAATACACCCTTTCCAACTCAGCAAACATACTTTGGCTTTGTCCAAGCAATTTACAGAATAGTTCTGTTGTCATTACCGACGTTCTCTGTGACCACATATTTTAGTTTTTGCATAGTGTATAGTATGTATAACAGCATGGCTTCATATCTCTATATAATGAATTCGTTATTGTTTTTGACTGTGGAGGAGGAGTAGCTGCCATGATGATAACAGCTCCTGGGAACCCACATAAACAAATGTCTAATTGCAGTGTGATAGCTACATGATTATAAAGACAAGTGTCAAGGGTGCAGTACTACCTGTGCAGTCCTAATGCCTACACTGGAGTCATATAATAACATAATGACACCATACTGGATGTTACTGATGTTAATGTTAATGAATCTCTGTGTTGTGTGATATGAAATACTGCAACACAAAATAATCATCACAGAGACAGCAGAACGCAACATAACTATCACACTGGACTTATTTTTGGATCTAAACAGAAACAACAGCAACCAGAAACTGAATGGTCAAAACTACAGCATAAACACTTTCTTTTATTGCATTCTACATCACTTGTTTCTATATCCAAGACATTTATTGCCCATTTCATATTGTATACATCATGCTCCAGCACTGCTGGGGACTCTGTTGAGGCTAAATAGATGTTGTGGGACCAGTTTAAGTCTGTGGCTCAGATTTCCCAGCCGCTGAAGGGGCATCATACGCCCAGAGAGAGACCCAGTCCTGGTTTCTATGGCAACAATGAACAGAGAGGCTTTATATTTTGACTTCTTATCATTGAGGGGGCGTGTTAAACCAGTGTCTTGGTAAATCTGGCTGGTGAGCTCCAAAGCTAAGCTCATGGTTCACTTCAGCTGTTGTTCTGACTGAAGTCATCCCCTCCCTTCAAGGAGAGACCTCCCTGGGCGGACAAAGGCACCTTATTAACTCCCCCCATGTTCATATGGCCCATTTGCCCGTTTGCTTTGCTCACTTCAGCCCTCATTCAGCCAGAGATCTTTGTCACAGCCTTGGCAGCTGAATGGGGGCATGTTGGCTTTCAAAACGGCTGCCTGCTTTCTGCCCTCAAAAGAATAAGGGAAGTGTGTTGGGTGCACTTATAGCTGCTTGGACATATGCATAATCATTGTCATCCCCCATTGAAGAATCAGGAGAGGGTGGAGATGAAGAACTAATCTGACAAGTCAGTGGCTCCCAGGCACACATGGCATATTTAAACATGCCTGTCACATTAAAATGGCTGCTCCATCAGACAAATGCAAGATTATATTGATCAAATGCTTCACGATTCATCTTAGGGCCTGTTTTAAAGTTATAATGGGTGGAGCGGAGGTATATTAATATTCCTTTGCATGGCTTAAATATTCATATTTTTACTGTTTGTAATTCTACTATTATCTATTAATCTATAATACTTTCATTTAGACTACGTTGAATTCTTTATGCTTAGCCACATTTGGTGAAAAGAGGCAAAGTGTGGTGAAATGAGTTGCACATACTACATTTTACACTAATGGGCGAAGGATGCTGCATTTTTTAAGAAAGGTTTAGTCCAAATAAAATAAAGCAAACATTTAAGCAATTTGAATGTATCGTGTCTCCCTGTCTGGACAAAGTGGTGCCACTCAAAGAGAAGAAATATTGGCAATATCAATAGCCAGGCAGCCCGCTCCAGTAAATCTAGGCAGCTTGGAAAGTGATCCAAAGAGTCCATTAATCTGGCTATGGTACATTAGAGGTAAGTGAGACCAAATCAATCCTATGTGTCAACCAGCCTTCCTGCTCGGTCCTTTGAGGCCTGATGTGGGTACAGTGTCGGGTCTTAAACTGAAAGAAAGGCTAACAGCCCTGCAGAATCAGGGCACAGCCAAGATAAGGACAAACTCAGGAAATTACCTAAAGCTCTATTTGTGTGTCAGAGGAAAAAAATAGAGTCCTGGGAGTGGACCAGAAGAAGGCACTCTGCACATACTCACAATGCTGTATACACCATAATACAGTTCACCAAGCTTTGATACAGCCAACTGGTTTATCTGTTGCTACTGTAAATAACCTTGTTCTGCTTGAAAAAACATATGACGCCATATATCACCACAGTATGGTTCAATGAAAGTACAGCAGGCCTCACAGTCTTCTGTGCAATGTCTCAGAGTAGGTTACTGTACATACACGTAGCAGAACAAATAAAATAAAATTTAGGGATGATTATGGTCTTCTAAAACTTGTCTCTGTTCCTGCAACTATAATAATCTTAAATTTACAAAAGTTATAGTTGAGTCATGGGAACACAGCAACATCACAACAACGGAGTACAGCAAGACAAGACACGTGTGGTCAGTAAGGCAGACTGTTTTTACTCAGATCAGATTATTCCTGATAGAAAATAAGGCCTAAACTATAATAAACTGGAATGATCCTTTGACCAGTAACTTAACAATAAACTCTTATCTTTGCTGACCTCCAGTTGTTTAATTTCTCACTTTTCTGCAGTTACTGTATGTGCCGGTAGACCCTGTGACATCACTGTTGGATGTGACCAATAGAACGTTAACTGCTGACTAGTTTGATCAATGGGTAATCATTTAAATCATTCATCAAACAAGAATTTTAAACATTTAACAGTTCCAGATCCTTACCTGGGAGGATTTGATGTGCTTCCGTGTCTTACATTATAGTAAATTGAATATATTTAGATTTAGTCTGTTGGTCAGATTAAACAAACCATTTGATAACATCACCATGTGCTTTGTTTTCTGATGTTTTATTAAACAATCAGTTGTTCAAGAAAATAATCAGCAGAATATTTGACATTGAAAACATAATTAGCTGCGACCCTTAGCAAGTAAAACACACCCAGATATTGGTCACAGTGACACATGATGTTTGATGTTAAGGTGAGGGCTCACCCTTATGAAGATCAGTGCACTGGAGTCTCCCACTTTGTACTTCCCCTCCGACACCTTGATCATAGGAAACTGAGCTGGACAGGAACACTGGCCCAGAATCTCACGAACCTGAGGAAAACAAAACAGAACATTTGAATCATCCAAGAGGAGCCTAACAGTGAAACCTTCCTGTTCCTCAGGCCAGTGCTCACTCATGAGATCATGTTTAGTCACATATCTCTAAGTATGACCAGTGGTTCTGAGCAATCTTTGTCAATAACACAATGCCTCTGTTTTATAGTGTGAGAATTGAGCAGGCTAGGCTGCCAGCAGTATATGAGGGTGTTGGTGTGTGTGTGGGAATGTGTGTGTCATCTTCCTGTAAATATTACTGCACCTACAGGATGGTAAAGTGCCCCGCCCTGCTCTTTGACCACATTAAAAGTCCTCCCTCATCTCAGCTCTTAAGAATATTGTTGTAATTGTGCTTACCACAAAGTGTCACCAAAATACAAATGTGGACATGCTAATGACTACCGCCACTCTCTTGTTCTCCAGGTTGTCACATGACAGTGTTTCTGCCTGTGACATGTGGAGAGAAAGAGCTCAGAAACCAGACTGGCGGGGGTGATGATGTCAGCAGGCCTGTAATGCCAGCCGGGTGCCATTGCTGTGGTTGGGGGTGCTTATTAGGCAACTGGAATCAGACACAACTGCAGGGTGGAGCAAGATCCGCCTGAGTTGCACAGGACTTGGCTCTCACACGATTGGACAACTTTGATGTTTTTCTTGGCATTTCTTTCAGACAAAGGCGTGTGTGCACTTGTTGACCAGGATGTAGAGAAAGTAAAGCAGCAAAGTGGACTGAGGAGAGAGGAATAACTGCTTCATAAGTGTGTGTTTAAGGGCAGACTTTATAAAAGAGCAGGCTTGTGTTTTGATATTAAAATTATCAAAGGAAGTGTTAAAGGGAAGTTTCAGGTCATGAGTTCCCACTATTGGCTGTTCAGAGTCCCTTTGATACTGTATACAGGGCCCAGGGGACATAGTGTGCTGGGGTGTGTGCTCAGGCCAAAACACCTACATGTATTCAGAGGATTAAGGAGGCACCTCATTATTTTCTTGAAATTGTACCCTTCTTTCTATTACATGCTAATTAAAGAGGGAGGCATCAGTGCTAAGCCTCTGCATCTCACCTGCCCCTCTGTTCTCCCTCTCAGCTGCCTCTGTCGAGCCTTTGTTCCTTCTGTTTCTCTCTCATCTCCTTTGTGGTCTATCATCCTTTATTTTTACCCTGCACAACTGACCAGACCTACTGTATATTTGACTTTCTTTGTGTTCTACATCTCTTTTTCTGCCTGCACTCCAGCTTTCATTTAGCCAGAAATTGGACAAGCGCTGTTTGGAAAAATCCCAGTCAGTGAGTTAATGGAAAGGTTGCTATGGCTACAGACACATATACACACACACACACACAACCTTAGCCTTCCCTTTTTAACTGTACCGTTAGCCTTTTTTTTTTTTCATTCTTACTATAGTAAAGTGTTTCTCTTTACTTCAAAACACCTCCCCCAAGAGCTGCTCCACTGAGATCACAAGTTTTTCCTCCAGCGGAAAGCTGAAGGGCTCACACACTGTGTTGCATATGAAATACTGAACAAGATACACAGTCAAACTTTGAAGTGTTTTAATTATAACCTAATCCATAGCAGCCTGTGTATTTGAAGTATTTACTCTGTGGAACCAATGACATGCAATGTGTGCATTTCCCATGTCTTCCCTGTGTCAACAATGGGTGCACTCAGACACACTGAAACCAAAACACACGCGCTGTCATACATGTATACACTGTAGATCAGGATACATGAGGAGGAGCTAGAGAAAGTCACGCAGGAAACACGCGGAAGTGGAGCTGGAGCACAGCTAAAAACTGAAGAATGAATTATGGATGCATACTGGTCACACGAGAGATGTTTTCAGCAAGAGCTGCAGATGTTTGAGAAGGAAAGAGAGAAAATGGAAAAGCAACTGAACAACGCCCCTATACTGGGAATCTACTGCATCTATCTTAAGACAGGAATGCAGAGACGTTGCTGCAAGAACAAAGAAGCTGAGAAGCTTTTTTATGATTAAGATACTACTGTAGCATTCCCTTTGTTTTTTACAAGTTGTTTTATGTAGAGAACATAGAGTGTACAGTACACATTCCTTTTATGATCCCACTGCCCAAAACACATCACATCTGCTTAGTCAACAATCTCTTCATTCCTTTCCTTCCTGACCTGCATCTGAAGGGCCATTCAAGGAAGAGATAGGCCGAGACTGAGAACTGAAAAGCCTGGAGATAAAGATGTTTAGGTTTTATTCCCCATTTTCTATAATGATTTGTAACATGCTATACCAAGACTGAAAACCCCAGCTTATCATACATATCATATATCAACAAAGGAATCTTTAAAGTTGTTCTACTACAATAAGTAAGTTTGTTGTCATGTGATTTAAATGTATTGGTTGTTATTATGTGAATACAGAAAATGTTGTTTTAATTTGGTGATTCAGATTTTCAGACTAAGATCCACATTTCATAAGTGGACTCTGGGAAGCTAGACATCAATTTGAATATTTGTCTGTTCTCTGCATGAGTCAACACCTACGTACAACCACGCAGTTTTGCTCTAGTGCTTTCATCAAATATAGGTGTGCTGGCCTGCCGTAACTGGTTCCTTTAATAATCCTTATGCAAAGATAAATTATTGCAAAACTCCAACAATATTAAATTGAATATTGCAACTCACTCCTCAAGGATTTATGCTAGGGTGTTTCCAGGATTTTCACCTCTATGCCTTGGCAGGAATAAGATTGATGGCAAAGTAAACACAGAGCATTCTAGGAGAATTCTTCTCTTAGTTTATCTGAGTACCCTGAGGATCTTCTATCATGACTGGAAACTTCCCAAGATGAAACAACCTCACCATCAGATAAGCACAGAGACAAGAGAACTAGGCAACAGGGGGTGTCGGCAGGATGGGAATTTTTGAGGGGTTATTGCTCCTCCACCCGCAAGTAAGCATTCCTGGAGCCTGTGAACGTACACTGAAGACAGCCACATATCTGAGTCTATCCTCCTATTAAACTGCTGGCCTGACAGCCTGCATAAACAACTGCTCTAGACAACCATGCCACATCTCATGGAACAGCCTCCTTTGCAAAAATTAGTTCTTTAAAACAACCTGGGAGGTGACAAATGACTGAATGACTGATAATTATATTTTTAAATTATGTTCAGCTTGTAGCCTGTGATGATATACATGGAAATACAAGTATTTAGAGGCTGTCAGTGTGTTGGTCCCATGTAAAAACAAAGATGAATGGTTTAGGCTCAGCTATGGTAATAACATATAATTGATCTACTGGCTTTTTTTTTCTTTTTTTTTAGATGAGAACATTGATCCCTCTCCCATGTCTGCATGATAAAACTGCTGGAGCCAGCAGCAGATTAGCATAGTTTAGCACAAAAACATGGGGAAACAGCTAGCCTGGCTCTGTCCCAAGGTAAAAAAAATCTCTAACCATCACCTCTAAAACTCACTAATTAACAGGCTGTTGTATATTGTTTAATTAATACAAAGAACTAAGTGTAAAAATGTCAATTTGCTGTTGTAGAGCATGTTCTGTCCTCGACTCTTCCTTCGCTTAGAGCAGTGACTTCCTGGAGTTTCCACTGTTTAACCAGCAATGGAAAAGGCAAATTGAATTTTTTCTTAAACAAACAAGATATAGTGTATCCAGTACTGAGTTTTAGAGATGCTGGTAGATGTATTTTGTTTCCTTTAGATGGAGCCATCCAAAAATAGGCTCCCCCTGTGTCTAATCTTTACGCTAAGCTAACCAGCTGCTAGCTACAGCTATTGACTGTAACAGATTCGACAGCAATACCAATCTTCTCATCTACTTCTCTGCATGAAAGCAAATAGGCTTATTTCCCAAAATGCTGAATTATTCCTTTAACTGTAATTTCACTAATAACACACTTTTATGTATTTTTATAATATGTTTTGTGCACTTGATCAATGTTAAAAAAACAAACAAACAAACAAAAAAAAACAATCACACTCCGGGGCTCCAAGAAAACCATTCTCTGAAAATCGATGCCTGTCTTCTTGTCACATGACAAACACCCCATCAGGGGCTGAAAGGGTATTGGACATTAAGTGCTGCAAGGTCAATTACTCCATTATTCATGTGCTTGAGTCAAATAGAAATGTAAAGAAATTAAATCATTCAATTTAGGAAGTTAATTTCTAACTCATTTGCCGGTTTGTTTTGATGAGGCTCAGCAACACTTAACACTCTCTTTGTGACAGGTGAGGTTAGAAGAATTAGGACTCTGGCCTTATTCTGACAGCCTCCACCTGAGACCATCTTGAAGAGGCTACAGGCAGGTGCAGACAATAGCCAGAGCACTCACAGAGGTGCATACCTGCTCAGACAGACATTCAATTAAATGTTAAACATGCAAATGATCAGCTGATAGCATCAAACACTACAATAAAGAAATAAAGCGGGCAATGTGCAAAGTGCAAAGCCATGGAAAATAGTGATAAGTGAGCTCTGGTCTGTGCTGTTACTGCGCAAATACCAAACCATAAAAATGAGCGCATGTGACACACTGAAGGATGCCATGCTCTCTCAGCAAAGCGTACAAGTGTGACCCAGTGTAAAGCTTGATGACCTATTTTTCCCTTTCACTCTGCCTACTGTAGCCCTCCCCCCCCCAGGACAGCATCCACTGTTTAACAGTGCGTACAGTAAAGTCACTCTGGGCACACTATCTGTCATCTACTCCCTTTTTTTTTTTTTTTATTCACTGAATGCATGAATTGGACCATATGGTTAACGGCATAGAGTGGACACACAGGCATAATACACACACTTTTTTTTTAATTATCACCCTTCCCCTCTGCTCTACTGGTGTCTCCATCCAAAGACTGAGATGTCAGCCTCTGACTACCCTACTATCAGCAGTGGCATTTTATTTATTTCCTCTCTTCTATGTCACCAAAAAGACAAACGTATTGTTCTGCTCTTTGTTTCATCATATCCAGGGGAGATAGAGGTGGGGGATGGGAATGAGGGCTTACACATATATGAACTAAACATGGGCTGGATGTTGAAGCCTGGGGTGAGAAGAGACATAAGTGAGCAGCAAGAAAGGGGGTGAGTGAAGGAGGTGACAGAGGCTGTGAAGCTCCTGTGGTCTGTTGTTTAGAAGCTCAGCTATAGTACTTTATAGCTGCCTATGCATGCAGTAAACATTAGACTGTGCAATAAGGGTCCAATAAGTGTAATTTTGATTGCTAAATGTACAGGTACTGAATGTGTTTTTACAGCTAAGCCTAAACTGAAAGAAGAAGAAAATCTGTGAAAAGGTCAATGTGTAGGAAGCTAACCATGCTCCTCTGCCTTGGGCTCAGTGCCATGTATTTGAAAATACTGATTCAGTCAGAGTCACTGTCATAATGACAGGAATGAAGAAAAACTTACTGTGAACAGCCAGTTGCTGTCCAGACTACTCCTAAGACAATGCATCTCCAGAAATGGGAAAGAGGAACTGCTGGCTACTTCCTCAACTGCACAGTGGAAAGCTGTCCCACTGCGAGATGAGTAAGAACATCAGACAAATCAGTGGGAGACAGAGTGGTGGTGAGTGTTTACATATGGGTGTGTTGTAACCACACAGGCAGCAGTTTTTTGAAAAGATTAAATCCCTTTTGTATAAAGCAGGTGATTGACATGACAGGGCTGAGTCACTCTGCTGTTACATAAGTGACAAATCATAACTTGTAATATTTGGTAATCCACACTTATTGTGATTACTGAATAGCCAGGCATCCTAATAAGGAGTTTTACGTTATGTGATCACACTCTGTCTGAACATGTTTCTACACTCAGTAGAATAATGATCTGTGATCCTATTATCACTACACTTGTATTGTCTCAACAAGGTCAGTCTGATCATCCAGCTACCCGACAATGTACAGGTGCCAAATGTACTGTACAAATCTTATTAGGATGCCAAACTTTTCAAAATAGTACACCAGGACTTAAAATTCCTTTAATGTGTGATTCTGGATGTTTTAAAAACTAAAAACATAAACAAATATGATCCAGTGCTTTCCTCTTACTGAACAACAGACTGCAACATAAAGTATTTGGTGGTCATGCACACACTGTAGAGAATACATTTTCTATTGACTTCTGATTGGATATGAGCATCTTGGATGGATGGAGAAAATATGAGAACTAAATGGAGGCTGAATATTTGCAGCATTTCAGTCTACACAGGTGTCTGCTGTGCATATATCTGTGGAGGTGAATGGCATGGTAAGTCGCAGACATGCAATTTGGTGTCACAGCTGTGGACAAGTAAACCTAAGCCCTTTAACTTTCTTCCTCACCCTTTCTGACATATACTCAAGTCTACTAGCATTAGATAGGATGTGTCAGTACAAGTTGTCAAAGGTTAGCTTGACTTGGGGTTTCCTCTGTGCTATTTTAATAGAGCAGTCTCTCATCTTAGCACCAATGTGGTTTCATGTTTGAAGAACCTCATGTTGCTGATGTGGCCTGTTTTACATAGAGTAGATGCAGGAAATTTTCTAAGGGCTTACAGGGAAGATGAAGCAGACTTGATTCACCAGACACATGAAAACTGGGAATATCACATCCTAAATCAGTCAAAGACCGTCAAATATGCCTGTCGGGCACTGTACAACAGATGGCACTCTACAATATGTGGTGTGGGATGTGTCAGCGTGAATGACAGAGAAGAAAATACGCTCTGTGCCTTTCCTGGCGAAGGTCAACCAGTTCAACAGGACAAACAACAAGAGCTGATGTTTTGAATTTCACAGGACAGGAAACGTAATAAAACCAAACTGCCAAAATGGACATTCTGAGTAGTGTTCGTAAAGGAGCCGCAGAAGTAGCACACGATTAAAAATTTTCCTCTCTGTTGGCAACACACAACAATCTCTTGTAGAGGGCGAGCTGTCGCTTCTACAAGAATGCAGGAGAAATGTCAGATGACCTGTGACCCTTCAGAGCTCTCCTGTGGGTGAAAGCTAGAATTTAGGTGCCAGATGCACACTGACCCCACAAGTGAACAGGAATCACAGCAAAGTTATGGAATCTATAAGGTGCCTGTCTTCTTCATAACACTGACAACAGTGAACGGTCACACTCATACTGGTCACATTTTCATAGAGGGTGCTTCACTTTTGACACATCTCTGTACTTTCTCCATCTGCTGATTCATACTGTTTATCATCAGATAAAAGACACTGGATGGAATTTATTAAGTCCCAGGCCAGAGGGTGATTAAATCTATTGGAAACTGGATTTCGGCTGGGAGCATGGCATTCTGGCAAACTACCATGTTAAGTGTAAATCTGCTGATGATTAAAGTGGGCAAAACTGAAACTGTAAGAACTTACTCTATAAGGGCTTGCGTGAATCATAAAGAAGTTATGACAGTCAGGCTTGTAGTGGTTTTATCTTTTCACTGGAAACTCACCAACTCATCCAAATTTCGCATGTCACATAAAACTCTCTTCTGCTGCCAGATGAAAGGCTCTGGATCAGGATCATCTTCATCCTCCTCACTCTGTCTGCTCTCCTTACGACTGAGACGCCTGCTGGGCGGCCCCTGCTCTGCTGGCTCCCGTGCATCGCTCCGCAGGCTCTCCTGGTCCCGGATCTCCTCTTCGATCTCCTCTTCCAGCTGAATCAACATGGGAGCCAGCATGCCAAACTTGGACCCGCGTCGCGCCACCTCAAGAAGGCACAGAACAAAATTCTTCTCGTTGCATCTCTCCACCAAGTCGTTAGTCTCGAACATGAGGACGTCCTTGATCCAAAGCTCCTGCCTGCACCAGGTGATGAAATTGGACACATTGTCCCGGGCCACAAACGAGCCGGGGACAACATTACGCGACTGAAAGCCAACATCTTTAGACGGCACCTTCATGGACTGTGCAGCCTCCGGATACTCCAGCTGGAAGTCCTGCGCAGCGCGGTTCACGTTGTTGGCGTGCCGACAGAGGGCACAGCCCGTCTCCAGGCCATCCATAAAGGTATCCACAGTGATATCTAGGTCGTACAGCGTGTTCAGCCATTCTGCCAGATCCTCCTTCATGGCATACAGGTATTCTTCGCTAGATTTAAAGGGCCGGATACTCTTGGAGGCGGCGGACTGGATGTTGCTCTGATCAGCCATGTTGTCGAGCTATGTATCAATAAAGTCTACTTGATCATTCCCGATGGTTTCATTGCACAACAGAGCTCCAAAGCCTCGTCCACAGAATATGGTGATATAACCGTGTTGACGCACCCATGCCGATGTGTATGTGTGGTTTCTCAGCCTGTGTGGAGCTCCTTGAAGCTGGGCTTTGTGTGGTCAGAAGCATATCGGGATGCGGAGCAGCCGTGGCCCATGGATGCGTTTTCCGGATGTCTCTGCGAAACCCGTTTCCTTTAAAAAGCGCATCGCCGGGTCCCGGGGTGGGAATGAAAACGGAGCAGTCCGGAACGCTGACACACACCCATGCCGCGAGCAGTTAATCCAGCTGGTGTCCTCTCACTCACTAGAATCCACGTGTCACCATGTCTGTGCGTCTAAGGCGGTCACTCAAATGAGCTCTTCATCGATGAAATCACGACCCCTGAGCAGCACTGAGTCGGTCGCTCATCCTCCTTGCAAATAGGCTCAGCCCATGTTGCGCCGCCTCTTGCACTGAATATGTTGACCTGCTGTAGCTTAGACCAGCAGGATGACTCCGTAGCACATCCCATTATAAGGACTAAGCACTGGGCAGATGAAGAACTTTTAACCCCATGTTCACCAGCTCATCTTATTTTAGGATAGAGGGCTGTTTTTTTCCACTAGAAGCAGATTATGATGATCAACATCACAGAATACCATAGGCCCACAAATAATTAAACTAACAAATTAAAAATTTTAAGTCTAACCTATACCTAAAAACGAATTCATGGAAAACGAGTAATTGCTTGTTTATATTATATGTATATAACTATAGGCTACGTATAAAACTACGCGCAAACTCATTTGGTGAAGGTGGGGCTAATTTTAACCACTTTAACTAATTGCTGTCTAATTTAGGCCATAAAAAAAATTAACCATTAATCACAGCTATCAGAGTCAAAATGTATAGTATTTCCTTCTGAACATGTAATGATGTAAAAGTGTAAGAATTCATAAAATGTAAATGCTCAAGTAAACTTAAAATGCGTGAATAGCTGATGCTAATGCCCAGCATTTATTTGTGATTCAGGTTTTTGTTGTTGTTGTTGTTGTTTTTAGTTCAGAATGTTGTTGCATGAAGCATTCATGCCGTTTCGTTCAACTTGTGAGAATTTTCAAATATAATTTTAAGATAGTTTTTTCTTCTGTCCTTCAATAATAAAGTATTTGCACAACTTCTTTACCAAATAGCCTAAAGCGATCAGGGGCTTTAATATTTGCTTCTCTGTATCATGAGACAGCAGCTCTGCTTAGGGCACTTTTAGGGGCCCATAGACAATAAGTTAACTTGAGTGTCACACTATATGTGAGGAAAATGTGTTAACCTCCTTCTTCTATAACATCTACAAATATCAAAGAGCAGAGTGAGAATTCAACTCCAAGTGAAAAGCATCATGGACATACAGGTCTATTGTCTGAACATAAGGTTTCAGACATGGGTCAAATTTACATGCAAGAGACTTTTTTTCCTGGTAAGTCAGAATTTGAAGCACATGATAAATAACTGCTGTAATTCTTAAGGGCCCTTCACAAACTATACTGCATCTAAGTTTATCATGATGCTGGTGAAAGTTGGTTTATAGTATCATGACTTTTATTCTGAACATTGTTAGTTCTTATCTCTTCCTCATACATGCGGATATACCTGTAATTTATGTTCAAAAGCTTCTGACTGCACTTTTAACATGCTTTTCCACCATCTCACTTCCCCTTTAAAACCATAAGCTCTCCTCCAATGAAACGGCTCATGTGCTCTTTAATGTGTGATTGTTTGAATTTAAGCAAAGTCCACCTCCAAGAAGGAGGGCTTGGTTTTATTTAAAGAGTGATGTGTCTGTTTAAGAAAGACAGAAAGCAAACGAAAGAAAGAAAGGAAGGGAGGGGGCAGTTGAGAAAAATAGAGAGAGAAGGTGGGGGGTTGATGAGATCATTTTCTCGGCTGGGATGAATCAGCTCTTCTGTCAGTAGAGAAAGAAAGGAAGAATTCAACAGTCTATAAATCCACACGAGTAAAAGGCCACAGCAAATGAGAAGCACTTCAAGATGTCAGCTGTGACTAGGCTGCCCTGAGGGAAAAGTAAAAGAAAGGGACACGATTGCTATATCTCATCAAAATATTGTTTCGTAATGAGCCGTCAGTGATTTATGAGCAACAAAAAGTAGTTCATTCTTGGTTTCTCCCTTCCACAGGGAGGCCAGAGGTCGGGATCAGAAACGGCACAGCAGTCCTGTTCTGAATCATGTTCAAGAGGCCTAATCTTTGTGCTCTGAGAGGAGGTCATGCTGTGTTTTCTGTAGGCAGAAATATGCAGTGTTAACCCAAAAGGTGTATGAAAAGAAAACAGAGATGTGACATGGTCTTAACAGCCATGGTTGACAGATGCTTGTTAATACTGTTTATTTCGTTATATTACACAGCCTTATGTTGGTTTACTGTTCACTTGCCCCTTGCATGGGGATATGTACATGCACATTGAGAACTGATGTACCAGAGTCAAACTCCTTGTATGTCCGACACACCTGGCCAATAAAGCAGACTGAGATGTTAAATATACACCAAGGCTTGACATCTGTGATTAATGACACTTAATGAAACATGAATGCCTTATAAGGAAATAATGCACAATTTAACAAAGAAAGCAATGAAACCCAAACTTGAATAGTACTCTGGCAAGGAGACAAATATTAGAGACATTGGTGGTATCTAAACCAATGTTTTTTGTATTTTACAATTGCATTGCAAAAGAAACAGCAAATTATGGAGGGAATTAAGTACGTCATTACCACATTGTTCCAATTCAACCATAATTAAATCTAAAACATTTTAAGCTCTGTATCCACCTCCTGTGTGGTCAAGTCAGTCACTTCAGCATTGTGTGCACAAGACTACAAAGCTCCAGCATAGCCAATGACTCAGAGCTGCAGCAAGTTTCAGTCTAAGCTGCACCCCCTACTGGCAAGACAAGAAACAGGAGCAGCCATTTAGACATGCTCCATCCACACAGAAAAAAATACAGTAAAAGAAAAATCAAAACAAGGGGAAAAAAAAAAAAAGAAAAAAAAAGCACTGCCCTGTGTCTAAGAAAATGGCAACCAAATGATGCATTCAAAACATATTCAAGTGCTCTTAAGGACATGGTCACACGAATTCAGTAATAATTAGCAAGTCCTTTACTTTGTGTATGGAAACCCAAAGAAAAATGTAGCAACTTTTCTTGAGGCAGTCTTGTGCTAAATGGGTCCTACACTTCAGCCTGCAGGGAGATAACCCGCGAAACATCATGCCAGATCAGAGGAATATGGCTTTAACAAAGACCAAGATTCATCTGAGGCAGAATAAGTAACTGACCAAGTTGGATTAATGTGACGGGCTTAATCATCTCTACAGACAAAAATCAATATGTGGCGCATGAAGCTGCAGTTCCTCTACACTATGTATAACATTTACAACCTTGGACTTTTTCCCTGTTTTAAGAAACAACGAATCACTTTAGATGTGATTAGGAGTATCATTAGGTACATTCTACATTTTCTCGCTCTGGTATTTGAAGCTGTAATTAGCATATTTCCTACCTAACAAACATTCCTTTAAAGCTGCCATCGGACAAAACCCACAGTTGCAACAAAAACTCACTACTGTTGAACTTAAGTTTTCAGGGTTAACAACTCTGAGACTGCATTCATCTGTTATGGCTGATCCTGAATAACTTCATTTTGTAAAGTTGAGTAAAGCCAACAACTTATCAAATTGGTAAAATTTTATTTTCCAAACCTGTCATCATACAATTGACTTAAGGAAAAAATAGGGGTTAACAAATGAAAGTCACATTTTATAATACATCAAAACTAATCTGCATATTAAAAAAAACATGCACAATACAACATGCAGCAAAACTGTGAGTACACTAAAATGGAAAAAAGGAAAGCTGAATGAGTTGAATGAAACTGCACAGGATGTTTGGAAAGCAGTTCTATAACCATTGAAATATGGAATCATAAATTAAAAATTCTCATCTTAAAAAATGAATTTCCACAAGGAACAGTCTTTATGTTCCATTTCAGTAGGGTCGGTCTCTACGTTCCTGGCGATGGTCCCTGTGAAACAACAAAGACGACAAAAGTAGTAAATGACAAATCTTTGTAATGCCACATCTTTTCACACATCACTGACAACACTTCTGGTCACACATGGCTACGTGTTTAAATGCCATCTAGATGTGATGTACTGTATATTGTAATGTATTACAATTCTAGTGAGCAGTTTTAGAATGACAATGGAGTAACAGTTTGAGTGTTAAGCTTACCTCATATCCATCTTACCACCCGGTGGACCCATTCCTCTTCCACCTCTGCCACCCATCCGGTCCATGGGTGGTCCTCCACGGCCGGCCCCACGGAACCCTCCCCTATCCATTCCACCACGCCCTCTGAATCCACCACGGTCTCCTCCCCAGCCTCCACGGAAACCTCCAGGACCACCTGGGCCTCCAGCTCCCGCCGGTCCGCCACGGTCCATGCCTCTGCCTCCACGCATTCCCATTCCACCCCTGCCCCGGTCACCGCCAGAGGGAAAGGGAGGGCCACCGCCTAATCCTTCTGGTTTAGGAGCTTTGCACTGGTTACATTCCATTCTCCAAGCAAAGTTCTGGTTGCCGCAACCACTGGGAATGCACACCATTAAAAATTACAAATAAATGTTTGATATAAATTGTCATTCAAGAAAACGCTGGGCTACAGAGTAATACATACGGGTTAGGACACTCCCAGTCCCCAGCTCTCTGCTGCATGTTGCCTCCTGTGGGTCCACCTCTGCCCATACCACGTGGACCGCCTCGTGGACCGAACCCACCACGGTCTCCTCCACGGCCCATCATGCCTTTTAAGGTAAAAATATAGCAGCACTTTATAATCACTGTATCACATTTTCCCCCTCATTACTATTAGGCTTTTTGAGCAATATCACAGGAAAGACAGGTGGTTTTATGTTTTGGGCATCTAATAGAGTGCAGGAGAGTGTGAACACGCTCTTAAATAATTCAGCATTAATAAGTACTGTTAACATTTACCTCCACGACCCATCATGCCGTCTCGCATGGGCATACCACCTCTCATTCCACCCATCATGGGCTTTCGGCGTGCCATGGATACCTTGAGCCTTCGGCCCTGGAACTCCTTCCCTACAATTAAAGATCAACAATTTATAGTCTAATGCATTTGACAGGTGCTTTGAGATTTCCATCTTTCTACACATGATTCTCTTTAGGTCTGATGTGCACAATAAAACATACCATCAAAATGCTCCACAGCTGCTTTAGCACAGATTGGCTCCTCGTAGGACAGGGTTGCATCACCCTTGGGCTTTCCTGTGTCCTTGTCTGTGTATATGTTAATGGCAGGCTGGCCAAGTCTGCGGTTCATCTGGACACAGAATTCATTTTTGAGTTGTCATATAAGTTTTGCTTACACCAATATTCAGAGTGAAGAGCTGTTCTTACTCTAATTGGGCCAACATGTTTAAAGAACTCAGCCATTTCCTCCAGGTTAGCCTTCTCAGTCAACCCGGTGATGTAGATTGTACTATTCTCAGAGTCATCCTGCTCTTCAGGGCGTCCTGGAGAGATGATACTGAATATCCAGTCAAGCCGCAAATTTTCTTATTACTTCAAGCATATATGGAAACACCGTTAGGCATCGATAAGTCTATTGAGATCCACTCACCCACATCACGCTCGTCGCCAGCCATAGGTCCTGTAGTCCATCAGTTGAAAGGAAGAGAAAGGGTGAGAAGAGTCAGTGTGTGCAAATGAAGTTGAGTGCACATGAGTACTACAACAGATAATCCAGATACTCCCTTATAGACACAGTCAGCCATACTGGGAAGTTGAAAATGGCACCTTACGGTACATCGCAATTCCCTCAAGTGATGTAATGAATTCAAAATAGAACACCTCAGACCCTTTGGCAAGTAATTCTGTGCCATATGAAAAGCCTAAGAGCAGTGAGCAGTCCTCAAAAAAACCCAGGAATTCAGCTCATGAAATTTGTTAAAGGAGTAACACATTCCAGTGTAAATTTGTCATTAACCTGTCAAAAAGTCATTGTCAAACCATAAGCAGTGACTGAATTATACCATGTACCCCAGAGAAAATGGCCTCAGGCATTGACAAAAATTTCCCCCAATATTTTCAAATGTTCATGTAAATAAATTTTGCATACCACAATGTAAGGCATTAATACTCTGAGCAAATTTGCTTTAAAAGTTTAAGGCTTTGAAAGGACTAACCAGTGTAATACTCGTTAACTTACCACCAGGCTTACTGAAGCCACCTCTGTCTCCAGCGCCGCTATGGGGGAATAAATGGAGATATGAAGGCGATTTCCTTTTAACAGCCACTTCCATGGCTCGAACAAAGTGGCTTGATTGAGGGAGTAATCAAAACATTCTAACTAGCCCAACAGCACTAAAAAAAAAAAAAAAAAGAGAAGAAACAGAATAAAAGTAAAACAAGAAAATCGTGGGGATATGTGTATTAGCTATGTACTATCCCTTAGCTAGCTGAGTACAACTTCAGTGACAGTTTACACTAGTGGATACATTTGTGTAAAATACTTACGACTAACATTTTTACAGCCTTTGAAAATGTGACAAAACCCAAATATTGCTTACAGGAAGAAATATTTCAGATGCATTGATGGCATACATAGTTGTACCCCAAAACAAGCCACTAACCTAACATCATTTGTTCTAACAAAATGACAGCTGAATGAGATGTACAAAAAGAATGCATCTGAAATTTTACAACATGATCAGGTAATAAAATAAGAATACACAATTATAAATTGACAGACAAAATCAACACCAAAAAGAAAATTTTACAGTGTTTACCAGTGTTATGTTAAATTAAGAACAAAGACTTGGTCAACTAATACACCCATCATGCTTATAAAAGAACCACCATCCTCAGTTCTTGATAAAAGGCAGACCCCGAATCTTTAAGCTCCCTCTTGCTGCTTAAGCTGGCGGCTCTGTACTGAGTACAGATACGTTTTTAGAGAAAAGATGCTTTAAAATGGCTCTCACTGTTACCTGTACGGTATAAATGTGACAAAGCATGTTAAAAAAAAGAATGCGATCAAACATTTGTATTCCAAACCACAAAAGCAATTTAAAACATTTCAAATGACACAATGTGCCCCAGCCCCCCACCTCCCCCCCACACACAAATATACCTGTGCAAAGCTAACGTATGCTAAAATGAAAAATAAAAAAAAAAAAATTATATTTATATATTTGAATTTATTATTTAGGGCCGTATTTCTATTTATGCAGTTTTTTTTTTGTTTGTTTGTTTTAAACCCTACATGGTAACAAATTGCAGAGTTGCTCGAGTCCCATACTAGATAAAATTCATTGAAACATCTAAAAACTGCATTTCTGTGTGTATGTGTATTAAAACCATCATTTTGAAAGGTTTACACTGGTGACCCACAAAAGATGAAACTGCTGGCAAAAAAAAACTGTACATCTTTAAAAACATATCGTGAAATAAGAACTGATAATTAATACCATTTCTGACCAAAGCTGTTCTCTAAAGGTTTTTGTAAAAAGATCTCACCAAAACGAAGCCCGATAAATGAAAACGAACCATTGTAAGATGCACAATGACGAGTGCCTCCGTAATAGTTGACATATATGCTGATTCAGCAATGTTGTTATTCATCTTGTCAGATTTCACTTTCACAGTGCTGATAACCAGCCTAAACCAAAACAAATGTACAGTACAATCTCTGATCACCTTAATACCCCTGGCCTCTCTCTTGATAACCATTTTCAATTCCTTTTCAGCAAAGCTTAATATCAGTTCATCTGATTTGGGGTTAGGTCGAACCATTTCTGGCTACAGAAAACAGTGTGCATTAACAGGAAGAATTGTTCAAATGTCCAATCTGTATTGACAACAAATTTGACTGGAACTTTTAAGGGTACCAGAGTAACCATATTAAGGATCAGCACCATTGAGCTCTACGTTAAATATCACGTGAGATGCACATCTACAGAAGACGTACATTATACCAAATATAATGCCCTGAATGCCCGTGTTTGTAACCAGGCTAAGACTGAACCATAAAAAATCATCTAGCCCATAAAAATACCTAGAGCACAGCTAAAGTTAGTGACCAGTCTTAAAAATAAATCATGTTTTCCCATGTCTCGAAGGGGTGTGACACCACAAATACTGCCAGTACATGATGGCAGATAAAAACACCGAGGGTATTAGGCAATTTAGTTATCATTTATATTAAATTTACTCTTAATACGTTTCCCCCATAAAGTTTAGAATTTTCACTGATGAATTTTAGCTTGGATGGATATTGAAACACTGACCACAAAAGACATTCATGAGAGTCAAAACTTTCAGTACTGAGGACAGTGACAAATTTATTTTTGATGATCAATGTTGGGAGCTACAAGCAGAAAAGTGACGGAGAAACCTGAGAAAAGAGACAGTCCCTTATTTTCTTCATCACTCCGTAGTAATGAAATTTATTAGAGAAGCTTCATAATACCATTGTCTGCTATTTTTCTGACATTTTCTTTGGTGTATGGCCTCGAGCCAATATAGCCAGTGACAGTCTTGGAAAAACCAATCACAAACTGAAAACACCAGTGAACTCATTTTTAAATAAAAAGGGAAACAAACATGTCAAGAGAAAATGCAGACCCAGATACTGCATTTAGCACAAGCGTATTTAAAATGCAACAGAACGTACTGCCTGTACAGTACAGTGTCTTTATGAATGGTTTAAAAATCAGGGTTATGTTGTAAGCTCTTGCAGGGGGACACTAAATTTTGAGGACTCCTATATCACAATTGCTAAAATTCTGCAGAGTTTATTCAACTTCTAATTGCCTCCTTGTTGCATCAACTGTAAGCATGTCACCCACAGGGAATGATGCACCACAGTGAACAACTGATTTTAAAAAGCTTGTTGCTGAGACAGCGTTTTAACCCTCCTTAATGAACCCCTTATAATTTTGATAACATGTAGATGGTGTTCTTGCAATTTGATTCTATCATATTCTCACTCTCCAGTCATGAAATACGCAACTCAGTTATCCTAAAACTATTTGACATTGGTTCAAGGTAAAATGGTATTCTAAGATATACGCTATTAAGCCTAAATGTTTATGCACAGGTCTCTGATCAAAATTATCTTAGATAAAAAAGAAAGAAAAACATTTTCTTACCTTTGGCCAAATGAGGCAGGGCTGAAAGAAACTAAGGATAGCTACAATTGTTGCCAATCTTGCATGTACTCCACCTTCCATCATGAGGCATTGTTTATCAGCACTGACTACTGATAAATCATGAGTTATATTATTTTATAAGAGAATATGGTTTTATAAACTACAGGTACATTACTGGATCATCCCAATTTTATCTGGTGGTGATTCGTCTCAGCCCTGCCCCAAATGGCCACGGCACCTGTAGAGTAAAAATGTACATGAGGTTAAATGCTAAGGAAGGACTTACCCCATGCCACGGCCCATGCCTCCACGACCCCGATGCATCATTCCACCTCGATCAAAGCCATCCCTGCCAGGGCCCCTGCTATCCCCTCCCCCTGGGTACCTTCCAGACTCAGAGCCAGAGTAACCAGAACCTCCAACCTGGCCATCCTGTCTGTAATTACCTACAAAAGAAGAACACAAATGCAACACATAACCATAAAGGTATGTTCACAATAGCATTAAACTCAACTATGTAGATTAGAAAACAGCATTTTAGCAAGGACAAAAGTGAAGCTTACTGTAATGGTTGGACTGGCTGTAACTGGGTGGTCCACCTTGCTGACCATACTGGCTGGCTGAAGGCTGCCCATAGGAACCAGCACCCTGAGGAGGGTATGCAGGAGGAGCCTGTTGCTGCTGCTGGGTTTGTGCCTGGTAGCCCTGCTGCTGGCCATAGCTTGCCTGCTGGGCCTGGTAACCAGGCTGTTGCTGGCCATATCCTGCTGGCTGGGAGTAGCTGCTTTGACTGTAACTGGCCGGCTGGCTGTTGGCACTGTAACTGAGAGACAGAGCAAACCAATAAATGGATAGTAAGTAATTAGTTAAAAAAAAAAAAGTTCTTTTATAATTCACTTATGCTCCTAGCCTAAAAGTACATGCCTCTGGGGTGCAGTGGGAGCAGCCTGTTGGCCATAACCAGGGTAGGCAGACTGGGCAGTATACCCTGGCTGAGAACTGTAGGACTGGGAAGCAGCCGGAGCAGCAGCAGCAGCAGCAGCAGGAGTACTGTCGTAACCACTGGTTCCATATGCCTGGGCTGACTGTGAGTAGCTATGAGTGGTAGACTGGGCAGTAGGGTAACCAGCTGCAGAAAACATGACGACAAAACATTGTGGGTTTTTTTTTTTTTTTATGCAAGTGGACATGGACACTGATAAAGAAACTTTAGTGAAGTGCATCATTTCAATTCAAAGTGTCAAATTAAGAAAACCACAACCGATATCTGAAGCTTCAAATATCACTGATGATAGTCCTTCATGAAGTACTTCATTAAATTAAGAGTTCTGAAGCTAAACTGGGTAGATTATGCAATACAAGAGAATCATTGAGAAATATGTTAACTTTATATCTAGACTTTTTGGGACACATTATTTTACTGTCATATAATGCATAATAACATTACTTTTAGTGAAGCACTTCTGAACAAGGGTACTGCAGATTTAACAACACAGACTTCATGGACTTAAAAGCACACTACACTAAAACTGCTGAAATCAGCCAGATATTGCAGTACTTTGTCCCCAGTCTTTAAAGGGCCACTCTAAGTTTTAAAAGACACAAAGCCTTGGTGGCATTTATTTTTGAATAGCACTTCACAACAACCAACAGACGGATCCAAGTAACTCACATCTAAAAAATAAACTATATAAACACAACAAATAAAAACACAAAGAACAAGTGACAAAGCATACGTGTTCAACTGGGGGAACTATAAACCAGTTTAAATAAACAAGTTCTTAATTCAGATTTTTTTTTTTTTTTTTTTTTTTTTTACACCTAGTTTTTGGGATTTCTAATAAGCCTCGACTAGATGACCTAAGTGCTCTGGGGTGTTTGCGGGTGGTTAAGAGCTAGATGAAATAAGAAGGGGTGAGACAGTTTAAAGCCTTAAAAACAAACAATTTTAAAATTGATCCAAAAACAAAGAGCCAATGAATGGAATATAAAATAGGAGTGATGTTGTCTTGGCTTGACATGTGAGTTAGCAGCTCATAGGCAGATAAAAATATCATCTGTGTAGCAGTGATAGACGAGATTGTGCTTCTCTGCTATTGACCCTAAAAAAAACTGGGCCAGGAATTGAAAAACTCCTGCTAGCTAAATAGGACTTGAACCAATTGAGAGGTGTGCCCTGACTACCCTGAGCAAGGCGAGAAATTAGGACAGCATAATCCAGTGTCAAAGGCTGCAGTAAGGCCCACAAGAACCAGTTAAAAAAAATAAATAAATAAAAAGATTTTTGTGACGTGGCTCATTTAGTAGTGTTTGACCCCGCCAGATCTCCAACACATCAAAATAACTCAAACGTCCTGTTTTAATCACCAACCTGATGCTGGCTGTCCATAAGAGGACCCATACTGTTGCTGCTGTTGAGGGTAGGCCCCAGCAGCAGCAGGTGCTGCCTGGGTATAACTGCTGTCAGCAGCAGGTTGGGCATATGATCCATAATTCTGTTGACCATAGCTCTGCTGGGGGGAAAAAAAGTCACACTTTAATGTTTTCCCAACTAGTAAGTTACCTTTTTCTGGTCATCAGTAATGTCTGGATTAAAGACCTAAATCAACTTTCCATTGCTAGTTCACCCCTCTTAAATGTTGCAAGCTCACTATGTATTCCAATTTAGCACCATACATTTGAACAAACACGTACAATCTTTTAATATATTCAGTTAAAATCTAAGTTCTCAGATCCAGCACAAATCATTTCACAATTAAAAAACTACCTCCATGTTAAATCTCACCTGTGCAGACTGACCATAACTCTGTGAGGGCTGGGCAGCATATGAGGCATACCTGTAAATACAAATCAAAATTTTAACTACCAGAATATATAGGGTCCATTTTAGACCCAAACACATTACGCACTTTTTAAAAAAAAGAGTGTTAATCAGGGTTAGATTTATGAAATAGTAATACTTCATAGCTTTATTTGTTTTTCTCAAGTGGCATTTATTTACTTTATTCACAAGAGTTCACAAACCTAAATGATTGGCAATGTTTTTTTTATTCAAATTCTTAAACGGAAAAGTAGCTAACAAAACAGTCGGATAGTAAAATGCAAAATATTTCACTCTGAAATGTAGTATAAAGTGCCAAAAAACGTAAATACTCAATTATTTACTCATGTTGAAAGCTCATTAAAAAAAAAAAAAAAAAGTTATGTTCAATCGCGTTAGTAATTGAGTTAATTGAATACTCTTACCCCTGCTGAGCACTGGTCTGGCTGTAGGAGCTGTAATCTGTAACAAAACAGGTAAAAAGTTTAGTTATTTTACCCTGAGAAAACGACGGAACGCTGATGTTAGAACAACACATTGTTTGCGCGCCAGGACCACGCTACGCTTAGCCGCGGTTAGGTCGCCATTGAACCATCCCAAATCAATTGAGCCGGTTATTAAACATCACAATACCTCAAAGCGAAATGTGTGTAGAAATTACTGGCATATAAATTTAATAAACAACTCTGGCAAAAATAGGTCATCTGGCGTCCATTGTCAACCTCACTATTCCGAAGTTATCTGGTAAAAATGCCGCAATGACTTGAGGCCTAGTGCATAACAGGCGTTTGCGAATGGTTATCGATATTCGATGAAATATAACGCAAAAAGGTAGATTATGTCAACATAAACTGTTGAAAAACAAAAACATCCACTTAATAATATAAATTAAATAACATTAAAAAAAGAACTCGGTATAAAAAAATTGGCAATTCTTAACTCACCCGGAGCAGTCGCCATTTTAGCGAGCGTATGTGAAACTGGACAGAGATGGCTATGTGCGAGGTGTACTCCCCACAGCAACCACAAACTCTCGCGAGATATGTCGTCGTCTTCTTCTATTGAAGTTTATTGGTGGTTGACAAACAACAAATTACTGCATTGCATAACCAACTGGTAAGAAGTGTGATTCAAAAGCAATTGGCCAAAAGGCTGGTCTCTCGCAAGATATAAATCTTCTCTCCCTTTTTGTTTTGAACTTTATTGAAACAATCATTTAAACACTACAGTACAACACACAAAATTCATAAAATACTGTGAAATTACAAAAAAATTAAGGTTGACGGTTTCAAAACCTAAAATTCAATGTAAATAAAGCACAAGAAATTAAAAGCAACAAAAGAGGAAAAGTAATTCAGTACACAAAAATAAACAAAACTAAACATCAAAATCCAATTACAAAACAAAAATAAATATAAAAGTACAAAAATTAAATTAAACAATATCATATGAAAAAAGTAAACAAAAAAATAATGAGCCAAGCATGAGATATATAGATAAACAAATGTCAGAACAACAAGCTAAAAATAAAGACACACATGCTAATAGGGGTTTTATTTTATTTTTAAATCAAATACCGGAAGATAGTAATACCTTATTAAAACTGACACTGGTTGCAAGAATTGTGTATTTACTGCATGTATGCGTGATGTTTGGTGTTATAGAGTGAAATGTGTGAACACAGCGGAATGGCTCTGATATTGTATGGAAAACATGGCACCCATTTTCTCCAAAGAAAGTTGTGAGGTACAGGTCCACAACCCCGACACACATTTATAAATTTTTTTGCTTCATTATTATCCCCATAGTTACTAGGTAAACATCTGACTGGCTTATGTCAGCACTGTCAGACTGTGGAATCAGTAGCTCATGTATGTCAGTGTCAAAAGTATGCAACTGCAAGAGAACCATCAGAGAGACATTTTAGAAATCAAGGAGTTGAAGAAATCAACATGAACATGTTTTAGCTTATTTAAAAGAAACTGGATTAATTATTAGAATATATATTGTTTGTGTTTTTGTTTTTTT